GTACCAACCCCGTATTCGCACCACCAAGCCCTTATACATGGAAACGCCGAAGAAAGTGGTGACTACACCAAAACTGCAGCCTATCTTTCAGCCAATGAACGCACACAGCCATGAACCAAGGAGAGCGTCGTCAAGCACCCGGGGGACTCCAATAAAGGCTGAGCAGTTCGTTCAAGTAAAAGAGGTTCAACCAGATTCAGCCGCAACACTCTTACATGAACTACAAGGAAAAGTGAATCGAGGTAAGTCCTCTAACTCATTCTTGAAAAATCCTACCTGCTATAAATGTCATAAGAGAGGACATTTTGCTGCCAATTGTCCTCCAAAACAAGTAGATAAATCATCCCAAAGTATAGATGAGATGTTTTCCAAATTAATTGATATGTTGACACCACGAATTAAAACTTCAAATTCTGTCATATCACACTTGTCTTTGCCAAAAGTTGTTGATGCAGGTGCAAGTCATACTATGGATAAAACGGTTGTGTTGATAAGCCAAGAGACTACATGTTGTGATTTAGATTCACAAGCACCACATCAGTCTGCCATTACGATTCAAGAGGACAAAACACCTACTCTAAAGCAAGAAACAAACTCCAATCCGATTGGAAATCAAGGTAAGTTTCTTGTACCTAAAGATTTCAAAAGACTAACTTGTTATAGGTGCAGAAAGAAAGGACACACAGCAAATTTATGTCCCACAATGAGAGATGAAGCAAAAACAGAACCGGTCACACCAAGTCTGAACCGTGAGCCACAAGTAAATGCCAAACCTATCACGGAATCTCTCACTGTAAGTCATAGTGATACTTTTCTTAAATTAGATAAGAACTTTGAATATGTGCTGCAATTAACTAAGTCCAATGTTGAACAAGAGTCTTTAGATGCTAAGGTGACACAAGAAATTGTTTCAATTCCGAGAAGTGAAAAGGAGCAATTTAAAAATTGCCAATTCGATTTACATGCTTCCATGACTGTTTTAACACACTTGTCTCTTGTCAAAAGTGTTGAAGTTATTACAGGTACAAAGGATGACAACAAAGGCGATACATTGAAAAGTAAGGAATTCATGGACCAAAACAGAAATCGTGAAGAGTACACGCCTTTACTTATCAAACGAGCTGCCAATGGGGATGAGAATTTCAATGAAACCATTCAGATCAAGGAGAAGCCACCCGATGAAAACCCACTTGAACCGATCCAAGGTAAGATTCTACACCCTCATATAATTCAATGGACTAACTTGACTTATCTATGTGTAGGAGATCAAGTTTTGAGGACAAAACTTCTTGAAGAGGGAGGGTATGATGCGGTCATCAACCCAAGAACCAACCATGGAGAAGATTATGGGCGAGAAACAACAACCCAGGAGCAGCCAAGTGGGAATTTTAACCAAGTTTTACCCAAAACTTCGGGCCAAAGCCAATTCAGCCTACCCGAGAAGACCCCTCAGCCTTTTTCAGTCCAGACGAAGGCCAAGATCTATTCCTCCTGCCCAGAAATCACTTGGAATACATTCTCAGCTCAACTACCGACAACCACGAAGAAGAATCAGCCCAAACGGAGTTCACACGAAGGAGTTATTCAATTTTCAAACCAGATGATGCTCAGCTTGCCTTATTTGGAAGCTGACGGGTTTAATTACTTGCAAACCAAACTTTGGCGTCCAGGAGAATTTCTATTACAACTAGAGACTCCTAAGATCACCTCAAGCTTCATTCTCAGCCCTTGGATCAAGTGGATTCAATCTTTCCTAATCATACACCAAGAGTTACCATATATGGACCCGAGAGCATTCAAAGCCCAACCCCAACGTCTATCTTCTGATTTGGTGCGACTTAAGGGAGTTATTAGAAGATTAATAAGCCATGGAATCATCCAGAAGCTGTCAAGATACAAGAGCCCACGAATTACTCCTTTTGGCCTAAGCATTCAAAGCCTAACGGCTATATTCTTTCAAGGCACATCTCCACTTGATTTCTTTGATTTATTTCGTGTATTGCTTTCCTATTTTGAGTCATTAGACTGTTGTACCAATCCTAGAGTCGAGCCTATATAAGCTCAAGTCATTTCTTTGTAAAAACCACCCTTGATCATATTAAAGTAATAAGAACATTTTCTTCTTGTCAAAGTTTGAGTCTTTGTCGTTTGTTCATTAGTCTTAAGTGAGTGAGTCTCTTAGGCCTATTTGAATCTGCGGATTAAGTTTGTTGATAAGTTCAACATCCTTGTTTCGTTCATTGATCGAGTGAGTCGATTAACCCATTGATTGAGCGAGTCAATCATACTATCTCCACATCGTTTCCATCCTTCCGCGGGATTAAGCTTGGAATCTCTTGATCATTGAGTGATCATAAGTTGGATTGGTTCCAATCTTATATCAGTTAGTGACATCGGAATTGCAAAACGAGTTCTCCGAACAAGTGAAGGAGGTACGATCAGTTTGTCAGAATCATTATGGTGGTTATCGGATTAATTTTCCTAGATTCAATGGAGTTAGGTTATCGGATTGGTTATTCAAAGCTGAGCAGTTCTTTAGCTTAGATATGACATCGGATGATTTGAAAGTGAAGGTTGCATCTAGTCATTTCGATGCTCTTGCTGCTACTTGGCACCAATCTATTGAAGAATTGATTTTGTGGAAGCATGTTAAGCACGATTGGGTGACTTACAAACTGCTGTTGGAAGGAAAATATAATAAGCATGTGGAGGATTCAATTGCAGAACTGAAACAGTTGCAGGAAGTCGATGGAATTGATGAGTATCATGCTCGTTTTGAGTTGATTAGCACTAGAGTGAACTTATCTGAAGCTTTCTTGGTTAGTGCGTATTTGACAGGATTGCAAATTGATACTCAAATTAATGTCAGGATGTTTGGGCCTCAGTCTATTCAACAATGCTTAATGCTTGGCCGATTATATGAGAAAGCTCATCAGAAAAAATTGATTATCAGAAAAGATGGTGATGATTATCGGAAAGGAGTGATGCCTTTAAATGTTTCAAGTGAAGATGCTGGACCTTTGAGTAACATTCACGTGCCTAATGCCTTACATAAGGATAGGGAATGCTTTGAGGGGAAACACTCAATTCAGCAAGAGATTTATGCTGGAATGGAGAACTTCTTGCAGCAAGAAGAGTTGACTTGTGACAGCGATTTTGTCTTAGAAAGTGATCGTTGGTGTGTTCCTTATGCGAATTTGAAGACAGAATCGGTGAATCAAGAGAAAGGCGAGTTGGGTACAGGAAACAAAGGGGAAGTAAAAGGCTGCTTAGAATGTGTCTCACAACCTCAGAAAGTTAATTCAACCTTTGAGGACTTTAATAAAGCTAATGCAACAATGAACCAATTGCTGTTACCAATTGGATTTGTTGTTGATAATTTACAATCTGGTGGTGGAAGTGATATTTTCTGTGATGATTTACAATCTGGTGGTGGAAGTGATATTTTCCGTGTCCAGACCTTTGCAAGTCCAGTAGTGGTTGGAGATTTTCAAGAGACGCCATGGATCTTAAATGTTGAATCAAAGGGCATTCTAATCCAGGGTGAATTAGGGATTGTGGGGAAGATTGAAGTTGATAAAGAATCTGTTGAGATGCTTAGGAGATGTAATTCGGGTCAGACTATCGGAGCTTATGGGTCAGAAATTAAGAGGTGGGACATTAACAACCGAGTTTGGGATCCTGGAGGTTCAATATTCAGGAATTTCTCTTTTAAGCTGAAGTTGTGGTTCTGGTTCTGTGGTCAAATATGGATAAAGATTAGGCTGCTTAGTGATGGGAGGTTCCAAACAAAGCACAAATGGCGTTTTAAACTCTTGCCATCGAGTCATATGTGGACAGTCTTGTCCTCATCACTAGCTATGCACAACAGTTGGTACTTCACGACTAAACACTCTTATGAGTGTGGGGTTTTTATATTTGAAGATGCAATTCCATGGTGGATATATTGTTCTGTCCTATGGCAATATTATAATTAGTTGTCATGCCATTTCAAGATTCCTACTCTTTAAAACCTTGAGGTCAAGGTTTCTCGAAGGGGAAGGATTTGTTACAGGAAAATAGAAGCTAATGCAACAAAGAGTGGCTGATGTGGAAGAATAGAGGAAGATGATTGGTGGAGGCGTGAATGATGCGTTGGCAGCTGACGTGGAGATGAATTGGAGCTACATAGAGAATCATCGATCATTTGCAAAGGATAACCAGAGAAATTGTAAAAGTTTGTTAGCTTCTTCTTCTTCTTCTTCTTCTTAGTTTGTGTTGAAACTATGGAGTTTTACTCATCTAGATCGAGATCTCTCCGTTAGATCTTTGTCATTTGAGATATCGGCTCGCGTTTTATGAACGTTAGTCCGATTTGGTTCCGGTTACGATTTGAATTGAAGTATTGGTGGTTTTTCTTTATCAGCAGGTGACAAGAAACAGTTAAATGTATCTCGTTTGAGAAGACTTTGGGCCCAAACGAAACCGTATCTTTTATTAGGCATGATTTTGTTGTACCGGCCCAAATGAGACCCTAATACTCGGCCAGAGATTAGGTGAGAGAAGACCAACAAATTTCAAACATTATTATCTCTCAACGAATCAGCTATCAAGGTTTCTACATAATATTACAGAGAGCCATTTACAAATAACAACAGTAAAATCTGCGTTATTGATTGTATTATTCCGATTCTGTAATCACTAGAATTGACATGAGTAGCGGGAACTGTTTGTTTTGTCTTCAAAAATTTCTACGAAACAAGGCTATGCACTTCAATGCGGAGCCATATAACTTCAAACTTATGCAAATTACATTGATGTCACTCTGATGTTACTTTAAATTGTTTAGGATGGTGAGGGCATAAAAGGATCATTCATATTATTATACTACATCTTCACCAAAGATACTAGAATTGATATGGACTCAATGTCACGCCTCCATAATCGAACTAAACATTGAGAATATAGATTAAGAGGCTTCTCTACGAATTCAAACCATTAATCATAAATTTCAAAAAAGAAAATGTAGCAGCAAAGAGGAAAAGATCGGTTATATCAAGAATTGAATAACCAATCAAATTATCCCTCACGCAGCCATTACATGATTTAGGCAACTGGGAAAAAGAGAGATATCGATGTTCGATTCACTCGGCAAAAAGTTGCCTATGTATTATTTAAATACAAAAAAACCTACGAAGATTTGATATTAAAACAAAAACAAAAACAAAACAAAAAGAATTTCCCATCAGAGTAACTATGACAATATAGCATCATATGGAACTGATAAACAGATCCATAGCTTTTGATATGTAATCCTCATTAGGAACAAATTGCACAAAGAGTTTTTAAAAGTCCAAACAAAAAATAAAAGAAAACGTTTGCTTGCTAACTAGATGAAGATAGATGACAACTCTAAACAAGAGCGTCTATAAAAAGGAGAGGTTGCGATGATGATAGTAAAGATGGCGGCGGCTAACTAGGGTTTTTTGCTTATAGCTCTAAACCTGCGTTTGCATTTTATATATATAAAGGAATTGGCAAGTGCGGTTGAAGGATGTGGGCCTCTATGTTCCAAACGTGGCCCATAACAAAATGACCCAGCCCAAACTAATATGGACGTAGCCATTTTAAAAGAGTGCCAAACTGAATTTTGATCAGTGGTGTACAATGTACATGATTTACGTTTTGAAGCCTAATTTTGCGATGCTTTTGTAGTAAACACATTTAAACAACAACAACAACAAAAAAAGGAACTCCCAAAATTTGATTATAGTAAAATCGTTATACATTGTGCGTTTAGTTTTATTTTTCTTGATCAAATTCAAATCCTAACAAGAATTTTCAGAAATAAAGCAACTAGAAACACTGCTTTTTTAAAATAAAAATAAGTGTCTCTCTATAAAGTAGCATTCCGAAGATATCTCATTTCATAAAGACCAGTGACTTGATCAGCAACAGCCCACATAATTGCTTGTCCTGGTGGAATCCTCATTAGCCTCGGCAATAACCCTCTCCATAAAGCCACTAATCCTTCCTCTGCATAAATTGTTCTAATGGCATGAACCATCCCTTTATATCTAATCCCACCTTCACTGTCTCTGCTCTGAGCCATCAACCTCGTTTTCACCACATCAAATGGTCCCGTGCAGAACGGACCTGCGGTTCCAGCTAAAAACCCTGAGATCATGGACTGCCATGGCTGCAAGACTTTACCATCGCCTTCATGTTTGTTCCACAAGAGTATATCAAAGGCGTTTTTCGCTGTGAACATTACAGCTTGGTTGGTGCCGTTTCGCATAACCGTTGGTGCTGCACCTGACCATAACCCGAGTATGCTTTCTTCTCTCACAATGGTTCTAGCACAATGTATTGGTCCTTTGTACTTGAAGAGCTCAGGACTCAATCCTTTCTGTTGCTGAAGTCTAATTTTCACCACCTAGAGATTTATAGAAAGCAAAAAAACAGAACTCAACAGTGTTTTACTTGAGTGAAAATACTCATTTGATATGCAAGAATCTTGAATCCATGTCATAAACATACTGAAGAGAATCAAACCTTATCTCTCTAACCTCATAAGAACAAGAACTACATGAAACAAGTCAAAGACTCAAAATGATTCTACATAATGTTTATGATTATCAAGAACACGATTCTCCGAATCAAGAATTGTCATGAACAATGGGACCAAAAGCATCAAAACAGATCTGAACAAATAATTTTAATTTCTCTGACAAAAATATACTAATTTATTGATGAACAGAGATGATTTTCTGGTGCAAGAATAATCTAACAATTTCAATTACACCAAATCTTTGACCCAACTAACTATGATTAAACTATAGTTTAATTCGATTCCTAATCTAATAAAATATTAAGGAAGACATGTTATTTCGTCAGAGCTTTTGTCTCGTAAAGTAAACGAAAAGGCAACAAGATTTACCTCAAAGGGTGTAACAATGGCGAGAGCTTCAAGAACACCGGCGCCGAATCCGGAAAGCAAACGGCCACGATTGCTAACTTTTCCGGTCTCGGAATCCTTAAACGCGGTTTGAAACATGGCGTTGGATCCCATCCGAAGCGTGTACTTAAGCGTGAGATGAGTAGCGAACGGCGTTAAACCTTTCCAAAGAGCACGAACTCCTTCGGTGCGAACCACCGTTGAACCACAGTGCGCGATTCCTTTGTAAGCGCCGACGCGATCTAGCTGGAGACGCGTTTTGATTACGTCGATTGGTTGGAGACAACAAGCCTCGACGACTCCGCCTAGTGAACCTGAGACTGCTTTCATGTACGGCGGAATCTGGTTCCTCGATTCCGTCGTCGCCGCCGCCGCCATATCTGATTCCTCCGCCGGTGAGCGAATCAAAAATCGAGAAGGAAGCAGAGAGAAATAGTCGTCACTCTGCTATTTATTGTTTTGTTATTTTTAGTTTTATATTGATTCGCAAAAATGTTTGCTTTGGAAAGAAAAAAACAAAACGAAATTGAGATTGTTGTTGTATCCTTAAAGTGAGAGAAAATAAAATATCTCTTTTTCTAGAGATGTCATTGGCACAATATTCTCATAATAATGATTTTTATTTTAAATAAATATAAAGAAACAATTTTCTCTTTAAACAATTGATTTATTTGAAATAAAAATAAATAAATTCGATTTATATCTTCAAACCCACGGCTCTTCTTGCTTAACGAAACGTCTCGATGTTCAAAGATTCCATTCTCATCACTAATGTTTAAACTCCAAAATATCACACATATCAAACAACTTTCAACAACCAGGTAAATTTGGCGTAAATCGATTTTCATCACCATAAAAATTGTAGATGTGATTTTGGGCCTCTTATTATTTAAAGGGACCATGTTTGATTTGATATCTTCTTCTTCAACGGTCGTAAATGCCTAACTAAATGACTATGCTTAGTCATTGTCTATAGTTTCACAAAGCCAATAGCATTATATCTTTTTCATTGCCTTTTTCACTTTTTCTTCTTCTTTCGTTTAGAATATTGTTGTTACACGTTTCTTTCTTTTGTTTTTTTTTTTCTTTTAGGGACATATTTATATCTATAATGCAAATGGTAAAGAATATTTGTTTCTCAAATGAATATGATGTTCAAATCTTGTTTATCGGTTTTATATAATTTGGGTTTGGTTCAGATATTTCTAAACATAAAAAATATTACCATTCAAATTATTAATAATTTGATCTTGGTTCATGTCGATGAATTCAATTTGGTTCGATTAGGTTTGCCTACCCAAGCAACTAGCATTTGTCTTATGGTCTCATCATCGCAACTCGTAATTTCTAAATTTATTGCGCAAGTTTTGATGTAATTTTAAAAATTTATGCTCTACACCTAACACATCCACTCTATTCGGGCACAATAAAAAAATCCACAATTTATTACGGTCGTGCAACACGAAAGAGAAAGCAAAATGATACACATTCTTGTGTCAAAGATTAAGACACAAACCAAGTTTAGAGATGTCTTCTATCCTTTTTGAAGTCCTCAGAGCACATCTCTGAAAAGCATGGCTGCCAAAACTATTCAATATTTTCATAATTCTTTATTTATTAACATAAATTATTTTAAGTTTGAAGATGTTCTTATAATTCACGATATAACTAGGTAGTTGCAAAACACGCTGACTGAAATATTGAATTCTGTGAGGTCAAAGCTTCCCTTCCTAGTTACTATTGTAGACGAGAGCAAAGAAGTCCATATGAACGTGTCCTTCATAAGAATCTGGATGAGATTTGAGCTACACCAAGAGATGGAAATTGCAAAAAAAAAAAAAAAAAAAAATGCAAAGAGGTATGCCTTCTAAATAATGGAGTTCTGTGAGGAAAAAATTAAAGTATATATAAAAAGGATTTGCTGTCAACACACCAATGAAATTTACTAGACAATAATTAAACTGCTATATGCTTAAATAAAAATAAAAATTAAAGTTAAAAAGTTTATGGAAGAGTGATTAAGCTTTCTAAATAAGAAATGCCACATATCAAATATTGAGCGGTGAAAATTTCACCATATGAATTTAATCGATAATTGTATACCACCATCTTGGGCTCGTCGTCGCTGCAATCATAAAGCAATAACCTGTTGTTGAAAAGGGATGTGATCGGTGGCCATGAGTTAAGATATTCCTCTTCAATACAAGAGAGAGTTGCACGGAGATTTATTGAGTAAGTTTTGTGCCATGTCATATTGGCTTGATTTAACGACCATATAGTTTGTGTGTCTCCCTTATCTTCCGATAAGCATAGGCGGTCATTTAAGGTGCACATCGTGATCCGTTCATGAGGTGCATCAGCAACCGGTATGTTGGCCATTACCGCAAAAGTTTCAGTGTGAAGATCGAAAGATATGTTTTTGTGACGGCATCAATGAACCAATGGAGGGATCCATGTGCGTGAGCCGGGACTTTTTTTTTTTTTTTGCTAACTCATGTAAATATCATAAATATGAAAAGTCAGGTTTTACACAATATGATAAACCTATACATATGATTCCTTGGCAAAAAAGATAAAACAAGGAGATCACAAGATCCTGGGACAATCTTGGTAGAAATTATCGCAGCCAAATCGCCATTAACTTTCGGAAATTGCGTCTAATTCTTCTAGAGGTGATGATGTTCTTGATGTCTCGATCGATGAATTTGAAGAGTGTGGGTGGAGGTGTAGGACCGCGAAATCCCGATTTGAAAACAGAGAGAAAGAACTTTTAGAAAACGATTTGGAAAGACGATTTAGAAAACTCGTGAAGGCGAGATATGATATCTCTTTCCGTAATCCAAACTAGCTCCCGCAGATGAGACGGTTTTATGAGCAGCGGACCGCAGGATACAATCACGATGACACCGTTATCGCTTCACTCGATAGCGGAATCTACGAACTTGATATAAACGATATACTCTTGATACTTACTTTGAGAAGAAAGAGAGAGAGGGAGAGAGTTGTTTGGTTGTGTTTTTGCGTTGAGCAAGTGAAGAAAATGAGAGAGAGGGGCGTTCCTTTTATAGGCGAGAGGAGACGCAACTTGATCCGCAAGAGATGGCTCGTGGGCGCAAATCTAGGGACGTTGGGAGCGAGAGGAGGACTCGGCCACGACGAGATCATGGGCGAAATATCCGGAACCGTTTTTCGATTTCGAAATATGGAA